AACCCTGAAATGCTAGGGGCCACTCCTTCTCAACAATTCTCAACAACTTAATCACATCAATTTTACCTCTCCAAAGCAAGGTCCTGCCAACCTTTGAGGCCATGGCTCAGGCCACGGCTCAAGGCTTCATGTATTATGAGCCTGAGCCTTGGGCTTTCCTGGGCTTTGACAACGGCCCAAGAAGGCCCGGCTTTGGGAAGGCTGGCCCTGGCTGGCTTACGGCTTTGGGCCGGGCCTGGCACATCACTAGACAACCCCTGGAAGGTTGTTACTGGTAAAAAGCCACGCAAACCCAGAGCTACTAAAAACACTGTGCTAACCCCCCAGGGAGCTCCGCCAGAACAGCTGGCGTGTCAGAATCAGTTCAGTATCTTCGAAGACCCCAACCCCACTGCCCTCATTGAAGAAGTCACATCCCAATGAACGACACAACCCAAGAGAAAGTGTACACCCGACCGATCCGCGTAGCCCAACTAAACGCACAAAAGAAAAAAGACACAGTTATCCAGCTACTAAACCAGCACGTAAACGACTTCGACATCATCATACTTCAAGAACCGGCTTGGGGATTCATTGGCACCGAAGACGGAAAAGAAGTACAGGGCCCAGTAGCACTTCAGGGCTGGAACCCCATCGCACCAATCACTACTAACACTAACCAGCCCAAGAGGCCACGCACGCTAACATATTTTCGAGACAGGCCGGACTTCACGGTCACCCTCCGTATGGACATATTAGAAGACAGGGACGTTCAGGTCCTGGACATTGCACAACAAAATCAACCACTGACAACCCTGATCAATGTTTACAACGACCCAAGGCTATTACAACAGAGCGCCCTCAACCGAATACGCCATGCCAACATACCCCGGGACCCCCCTGTCATCATCACCAGCGACTACAATCTACACCACGATCTCTGGGCAAGTGGACCTGTAAGCAGCGAGGATGCAAGGACAGCCGGGGACATTGTAGAGTGGCTAACAGAGGAGGGGTTCACGATCATGAACAAGAAGGGTGAGATAACACATCCGCCGAGAAACGCCAGAGAAAGGGCGTCAGTCATCGACCTAACCTTCATAAACGGCCAAGCAGTGCGTGCGGGCACAGTACAAGAGTGGGCCATAGAACCAAACATTGCTCACGACGCCGATCATCTAGGAGTCAAGTTCACCATTGCACACGGCATAACCGAAATCGACAACCCACTAGACATCAAGTACTGCTTGAAAGAGGTGAAGCCAGCAGACTGGATCAAGGAATTGGAATCGGCCATTGAAAAGTCACGCGAACTGCTACAGCCCCTCCTGACGGCAGAACGGCTCCAGACAGCCACCTTAGATGAATGTGCAGACACACTAACAGAAGCCATGCAAGCAGCAACAGCGGCCACGGCGAAGATCCGCAAACCATGCACCAATGCAAAACCATGGTGGGATCAAGACTTGGCAGATGCAGCCAAACGCGTAAGCGAAGCGCGCAAAGAACAGAAACTCCACCACGACACAGTCAACACCTTCAACGGCGACATAAGGACCCGGATTAGGAAGGCCCGAAACTACTTCAAAAGACTATGCAGGATAAAGAAACACGAGTGGGTAAACGAGAAACTTCAGCAGGCAACAACGGACGACATCTGGGGCTTTCAAAACTGGTCCAAGGGAACACGCAACTACCCTTCCCCCCCAATATCAAGGGGTGTGGGAGTACCGAAGGCAGTATCCCACCAAGAAAAGTGCGATGCGCTGAGGTCGGAGCTCTACCAGGCGCCACCTCACCTTGAGGCGGAATACAACCCAGACCTACATCACCCACAAGAGGACGACCTACCATTTGAAAAGATAACCTATGACAAAGTCAATGAAGCAATCAACGGTACCAGCGCCTCTTCGGCGCCGGGTTACTCTCAAACAAACTACCTGACAGTCAAATGGGCCTGGAGAAGCGAAACCGGTAGACAATACATATTGCCACTCATGCAGAAGTGCCTCGAGGCAGGATACCATCCCAAAGCATGGAGAAGGGCCATAGCGGTCGCCCTCAGGAAACCAGGCAAGCCTGACTACTCCAATCCCAGAGCATACCGCCTCATAACCTTGCTTGAGTGCCTCGGCAAGATATTGGAGAAAATCGTGGCTAGAAGACTAACATTCCTAGCAGGGAAGCACGACTTAGTGCCAGCCAACCAGTTCGGGGGCCGCTCCAACAGTTCTACCACTGACGCCCTACTCACATTTACCAACGACGTCCAGTGTGCATGGAACCACAAGCTGGTCACATCGGCTCTCACATTCGACATCAAGGGATACTTCGACTTTGTCAACCACAACCGACTACTGGTCGAACTACGCCGCAAGCGCATTCCACTAGCCTATGTTCAATGGGTCGCAAGCTTCCTGTCAGACCGAGAGGCCGCAATATGCATAGACGGAAAAAGGGGAGAAATGGGACACGTGGAAAACGGAATCCCCCAGGGATCCCCAATATCGCCTATTCTAGCCGCCTTCTACACGGCAGAGCTGCTAGAAGAGTTCCAGCGCGGAACAACAGTCCAAGCCGACCCAAACCCAGACAAGGCGACAAGCGTACACCTCATCATGTACGTGGATGATGGGAAACTATATGTGTCATCGAAGTCACTGGAGACAAATGTGGAGAGGTTGAAAGAGGCACATGAAAGGGCAGAAACGTGGCTGAGGAGTGCAGGTCTGTCCCCAGACTACGGAAAAAGAGAGCTCATGCATTACACCAAGAGGAAAAAAGATGGAAGCCCATCAATTACATTTGACGACAAAGATGGAACCCGCCGGGTGGTCAAGCCAGAAGCAACGGTGAGATGGCTGGGGGTATACTTCGACCGAAAACTCCGATTCCAAAAACACACAACAATCCTCGCAGCCCGTGGCGACAATGCAGTGAGCGGCCTCACAATGCTGGCCAACACTGTACATGGCCTAAGCCAAACCCACTTACAGCACCTTTACCTAGCCTGCGTATCTCCAAAGATACTCTATGCATGTCCAGTATGGTGGACAGGACACCAGTACCAAATAAAACCTCTGGAAAAGGTACAAAGACGCGCGCTCAGGCTAATATGCGCAGCATTTAGGACCACCCCCATTGAGGCACTTGAAATAGAGGCGTCGATCCCACCAATAAAACACCAAGTCAGCCTACACGTTAAACGATGTGCCATTCGATTCAACAAACTTAGCCCATCGAGCCCAGTCATCCAAAGACTCCCACAGCCGTGGAGGAAAGCCGGAGATAGAACCACACCACCACCCCTACAACCGAGGCTCAACAACAACTCAGCCACTGACCGGGCCAGGACAACAACCCTACTCGACATCGCTAAGCAAACCTGTTTCGCGCACGAACGAATTAACCCCTACTTAGTAGCCCCATGGCGCCGCACAACCTCCAGCTTCGGCGGCCGCATTACCATAGACACTTGCAAACCAGAAACCAAAGACAAAGAAGAAAAACAACGTTTAATAGACAGCCATAAAGAAAAGTACAAAGAATTATCAAGAAAGAAAGAAAACCTAATTATATACTCGGATGGATCCATGGTGAAGAAGAGGGGCTTTCCCCAGGTGGGGGCGGCAGCAGTTGGATTTCATGGAGGGGAGGAGGTTTTCACAGAGAAGATGGGAATGGGAGGCAGAGCTGAGGTTTATGACGCGGAAATGGCTGGGCTGAAGATGGGAGCAAGCAGGGCGGCCAAATTCATCACGAACCATCCAGAAGTCAAGAACATTCACTTCTTTGTTGACAACGCAGCAGCTGCTGAGGCAATATTTGACCCAAAACCACAACCAGGCCAACTCTACGCAGCTAGGTTCCACCGGAGGATGGCCCAGTTCCTCGACGACGACCCCACACATACAATCACAATTGCATGGTGCCCAAGCCACTGCAAAATAGCGGGCAACGACAGAGCGGACGAGCTCGCTAAAGAAGCAACGCAACTCGCGTGGAACGCACCAATAAGCACCTCGAGGGCATTTGCCCTACGCCGGGCCAAAGCATCCACACAAACAGCCTGGGCTCGCAGCTGGCAGAAATCACCCCACAAGGGGAGATTTGCTATCGCCAACAGGATTCCCCCGTCCCTAAACCCCACAAAACACTTCATCGAGCTCAAAGACCAACGTGAGGTCTTTGGACGACTAGTCCAGTGCCGCACTGGCCACGCATACACCGGGGAATTTCGTAAGCAATTCTTCCCAGAGAAGTCCACGAACTGCGAGTGTGGGGAAGACCCTCAGACCCGGGAACACATCATCAGGGAGTGCACCCGATACGAAGACCAACGGGCTATACTACGTGCCCAGAACCGTGAACTCGCACTACCAGAACTTCTGGGAACCCCCAAGGGGATTGCAGCGTTAGCTACTTTCATTCGGGAATCAGGCGCCTTCACGTTCACCGGGGAAAAATACACGCCCAAGGGACCCCCCTCCTTCTTCGAAGAGCCAGAACCACCTGATATAGACTCAGAGGATGATGAGTCTGACATGGGAGAGACATAGCCCAGCCATGCCACCATACCCGCGAACAAACCCCCGCGTGCGCAGGAGCGCTCGCCTTTACCTCAGCGTCACTGACGCACCAGACCAATTCCGGATTCACGGCCCTTATACCTCCAACCTTTCACATATCCTATACCTTATGGCTACACAAAGGACAGTAATATTCACATAAGTGAAGATCCACGGCTCAGTTACACCGAAGGGAAGCCTTACTCTTCCCGTGCGTCTTAGTACTAGACTACTTGTTGCACGTAAATCTAGAGAATCCAAAAAAAAAAAAAAAAAAAGATCTATTTGAAGGAGTCGTGACTCTATAAGTACGGTTGTGGTCCGGCCCGCCGGCTACTGCTATGCAATTTCAATGGGCTTCAATGCCAGAAAAAAAAGGTATCATTGGTTCAAAGTCACTGTATAATCTATCCCGATCGTACGCGTGCCTCGACTCGAAATAAAAGCTGAAGGAAACTAGTCATCACCAAGAAACCGAGACTTCTCCTCAGAATAAAACGCAGCGCTCTGTTGGACCAGCCAAGGATCCGCCTCTACTATAGAAACCTTCTGCCTCATATCTTCGTAATGATCCAATTTCTTAACCGATTCTGCGTCCAAATACAACGTCCGGATGGGTGCTCCAGCTTCCTGGCGGTCTAAAATAAATTGATGAAGCACGTCGAAGTCGTCGTCAAGGGCCCGAAGTGCGACGCTATCCAGCTGAGGCCAGCAAGGTACCATGGAATGGATACCCCCTCTGGAGGTCAGACCACGTAACACATCCCGCCAGTAAGGATTGGGAAGAACGAGGGTTTGAATCCCAGGAAAGCAAAATTCAGCTCGATCGAGGGTTGATTCTATCACGTCTGAGGCCGGAATGAGCGTTAGTGTGAGTGATTTCAGCTTGGGAAAGCGGGGAGATTTCTTGCGCTGGATGTCTTCTTCCAGCGGGACGAGATCATCCCCGACGAATGGGGCAATGGCGATTTCTTCCAGATCCGGAGCCGAGATCGTGAGCAGAAGCTCAGAGACTGCAAGCATATTTCCGTAGATGTGAATATGGCGTAGAGAAGGCATATTGGACACGCGCGATACCATATCAGCTTCGCGCCACCAGGCGAAGAGACCATCGTAGATAACCAGCGTGACCAACGATGCGGAACACGATTGTATCATCTCGAAAAAGATTGCATAATTCAGCGCATTCTCCACCGGCGCCAGATGAAGCTCTGTGACGTTGGTAAGCGGAAGGCGGAAGTAGTGCAACCCCGTACCCCGCAAACGCACATCCGTGAGCATCGGAGCGTCTCTCAGTGTAAACACATCATGGTCAGCATCGGCCATTTCTGTCCCCTCTACCAAAAAGCGTTGAAGGTGGGGATACGTGCTGTGCTGCATTGACTCCAACACCACTAATATAGCAGGGATGATTTGGGTATCCCCAGACACCTCAATGGTACGGCACCGACGGTAGTGAGGTTGGAGGATATGGGCAAGTGAATGTGCAGAGTCGGTGGAGGGATGTTCATCAGGACTAATGAAGTCGTAGAGAAGGTGTAAATCAATCAAAGATTCCTTGGATCTATCGATGTAAGTTTGTATGGCGGACAAGTTCCAAGGCGGTGAAATATCCACGTTTGACCACAAGGCAGGTGTTGCCAACACGGTTAGCCGCCAATACTGCGATACTTGTGCAGGTATGAACGGAAAGCAACGAAAGTCATCTTCAGAAGGAAGCAACATGGTTTGCGTCGTTTCAAAAATGTATCCTAACAGTTCCGGCGGTAGGGTATCGATTGGGGTAACTTCGTTTGTGTGGGATGGCAAGGAATTCGAGTCCGATGTACTTCTTCGGGATATAATTGCATGCATCTGACGATTTACCAACTTTTAGAAGGGGAAGGTATTGAAGAACGTATATGTGACGGTGTTGGAGTTGTGACCGTATAATTTATAAATACGGTTGTGGTCCGGCCCGCCGGCTAATTTCAAAATGGACTTCAACACCACTATATGTAGTACATACCACACCACTACTATCTGAATCCAAAGCCACTGTCAGATGACGGCGTTTTACGGTGCGTCTCCTTCATTTCCACATTTCCGCGTTTCTTTAGTCAAACTGACCATTCGTACTACTTTCAGGTCTGGCACTCCTCACTGCCTGCCTCCAAACCGTTTTTGGCCTTATCGCGAGCTTCTTGAACGGTTCCCTCGTATGTCTTCCTCTTATCAGAAGTTTTTATGGTGGCTGATGAAAGTATACGCACAGACATATTTAGCAAACTAGCAGCAGGAGTGTCTACAGCGACGTGGATATGGCTTGGGGGTTTGAGCGCCAGCACCGCCGAGCTTGAATGGACGACAGCAACGAAAGATGACCTTGCCTGCTGGTTCTTTTAGGATTGTAAGTTCTCAGCTCTAAAAAAAGTTGTAATCCCACTGATCAACGATCCTTCTCTCAGCCTCCTAGAGGAAGATCACCATCATCCCGTCCACCCTTCACACTCCGAAACGCGTTCTTTCCAAACAGTTCAACAGGCATTGATCCAGACTCCATCTCCGACAACGGCTCAGGCGACGACGACGACCAGGAGGACGATTAAGGGATGTCGCAACAACATTCCCCATCACCCGCCTCATCCGTCTCTTTCATCTCGCAGCCAGCTCCGTTCAAGGGATGGTCACATTTGTGGGGGGGCATTGCACCGCGATCACCTATGCTAAGAGACGCAAAGCTGGAGGCTGAAGCAGAGAGGGAACACGACCGTATTCGTAGAGATGCAGAACGCGGGAGGCTGAGCAGAGGAGACTCGTTGAAGACCGCGTGCTGGGTATAATGGACAACACAAATTCGCTCCTTCCACCTCCATCCAGATCTCCGACTATGCTCAATTCACCCTCCCCTTCGAATTCGCAGAAAGAGTCGGATGGTGCTGCTAGTTGGTGGTTTGCTGGGAAGAGTAGGTTTACGCCGACGAAAGACCCTCCGACGCCTGCTCAGCATGTTATATTGGACGCAAAGGCGAGGGATGAGGATAACAAGAAGAACGCCAAAGGCAAATTCACTGATCCAGCGTTCGTGAATCTCATCATCCCAACAACACCCATCCGACGTGTCCTGTACCTTCCTCCCCATCCTCCCCTACTCTCTCAAATATGCCGCCCAACTTGACGCCTTCTCCCATGCGTACAACCGATACCTTGTCTTCTTCCCCTTCTCGGGAGGCTTCACCCTTGTATGCACGGTTTACATCCCAAGGAACGCTAGACGTACCAGGCACACTCTCATGATAGCCAAACGCTTCGAAATGGACCGTGGGCACGTTAGGGCTTCGGAAGATCAGATAAATGATGTTGAGCAGTGGTTGGTCGACAAGGTCGCCACGCACTCGCATCCGACGTCTTCTTCCATTGTAACACACTTGACAGGATCACCGTCAGAACCCAGCACACCCACCCACCATCTCAGGTTATCAAGTACCACTGAGAGAATCAACAAGTCCGCCGATGACGTCGAAGAGGAGAGAGTCGGGCACGAGGTTACTTTACCCTGCAGGAGATTACGCTTCTCCACCTGATACGTTCTCTCCTAACAATTCTCTGCCTTCGTCGATTAGTTCGGCTATGAGGTCTTTGTCTACGACCATCCCGGGGCTACCTCTCCATGCATTGGCAGGACTGGGCACTGGCGGGTGCTTCGTATTCCACTACCTCCCTTTTCTCACTGTCTTTTTTGGGTGGGGGTAGGCCGCTGTCCCCGCCTGCTCAGCCCAAGGCTGTCTCTGGTTCTTCTGCCTCTCTCAATTGAACGGCCAGCCCAAGACCCGCAGCACCAGCAACTTTTAGTAAAGGACGAGGATTACCACCCCCGAAATTGGCTACCGGTAAAAGACAAACGAGTGTGAGCCCCACAACGACAGCTGGCGCGAGACAACGGTACACTGTTGCGCTTGGAGGACCGATCACTGCGCCGCCTGATGAAGAAGAGTTTTCTTCGAATGCCGCTTCTTCATTCTATGCCACCGCCAATACCAGTGCGAATATGAACACTAATACCCATACGGATCCACCTGCTGCTTTGAAAAGGGTAGGCACACCGCGGTCATTCTCTTGTGTCATTGGGGGGTCTTTTTCCTCCTCTCCTGTGGGGGAGCGAAGAGACGATCGGAAAGTCCTCTGGTAGCAAGCTCAGGAACACCCATGGGATGCTGTGTCTTCTACTTTAAACAACTTGATATCACCTGGTGGACCTGGGGGTGGTGATTACAAGTCCACGGCCACTACCTCACCATCACCATCATCGGCGAGAAGGATCAGGGCACAGAGCGCGTACGGGTATGCTAGCCTCCTCCCTCCCCAGGCTCCACAGACTCCTACCACGGGGACCGGTGGGCAAGGTTCCAATTGGGCAGTTGGTTGCGTTTTTTGATGGGGAGAAGGGGGGGAGGACATAGGTTGGTGTGGGAGAAGGGTTTCTTTTTTTGAAGCGGGTGGATAGGATTAGGGAAGGAAGGAAAGAAGGAGATAGACTAATGGGTATGGATCTGGAATGACTGATACACTATGTACCTCTTACTTGCTTTACTTATACCCTCCCAACAATATGGCCGTGATGGTGGTGTCGTCATGTTTTATCCTTGTGTCTTCCTGTACATTTATGAAAGTGCGCCGCCAAGACGAGGCAAGCAGTGTCGAGGCAGTGTTTACTACATTTACTGCCATGATGTAAACTCGAAATTGTTAAACTTCGGGCTTCTCTTTCACGCTCACTCTAACTGTCTTCCAAACGTGCTTTGCCAATTATCCATTTCTCTAATATCGGCAATGGCTAGATTCAAATATACTGACGATGTTGAGATCGCAGACGCCCAGGCCATCACCTACGGTCAAGGAGATCCACCACTCCAACTTCCGACCGGAAACGCGGTACAGATTTCCAGTCCGGTTCTGGATACCTCGGGCACAACTACCACTAAGCCAAACAGGCTGTCGGGTACGTTCTGCCATTCCAATGTTTCGATTGAGGACTCGACCTTGAATCATGGTCATTTTCAGTGGATTTTCCATCTTCCGAGAAGCGGGGACGGACTACTTCGATTTCTGAACGACCCCTCGAGGTCCCAATGGTAACCACCGACGACAAAAACCAAATTAAAGATGCAACTACTAGCCCAAAGCATGAAGGACATCCAGAAAATATGACTCAATCCAACCTAGTACACCAACCTACACCTCAGAGCATAGTAGTCCCATGCCTTGGAGACACTCCAAGTGTGGTTCAATCGACAGACAACACAGTCACAACATCGGGAACACCACTCCATGGCAATGTGTTGATTCCCGATGCCTGTGCGTCAAGCCAATTGGCACCAGACGTTACTACTACCGAGGAATCGCGTGAATTCATCCGTGAAATCGTCAGAGACATTACTGCAGCAATTGCACGTCTGGAAAGTGCAGTTATGTTGGGTATGCCGCGTGTCAACATCATTGGAAGGGCCACTGTGTCCTTCCTCCTTGGAAATTTGTATGCCCGTCGTTTTGAATGTACAACAAACGTCCAGGATATCGACCATGCCATATTCCACCACCAGAAAGCAGTTGAATCCACTCCTCCTGGCCATGCTTACCTTCCAAGTCGGTCCAACAACCTTGGAAATTCTTATTTCTGTCGCTTTGAACGCACTGGGGACCTCAAGGATATTGATTCTGCCATATCCCACCACCATAAAGCAGTTAAATCCATTCCTTCTGGCCATGTTGACCTTGCAGCTATGTTCAACGATCTTGGAAATTCATACTTCTGTCGCTTCAAACACTGGGGACTTCAGGGATATTGAATCTGCCATAGCCCACTACCAGAAAGCAGTTGAGCCCACTCCTCACGTTCATGCCAACCTTCCAGCTATGTTCAGCAACCTTGGAAATTCATACTCAAGTCGCTTTGAATGCACTGGGAACCTCAAGGATGTTGAATCTGCTATCTCCCACCACCAGAAAGCAGTTGAATCCACTCCTTCTGGTCATGCTGACCTTCCAAGTAGGTTCAACAACTTTGGAAATTCATACTTCTCTCGCTTTGAACGCACTGGGGACCTCAAAGACATTGATTCTGCCATATCCCATCAACAAAAAGCACTGAATCCATTCCTTCTGGCCATGTTAACCTTGCAGCTATGTTCAACGATCTTGGAAATTCATACTTCTAGTCGCTTCAAACGACTGGGGACCTCAAGGATATTGAATCTGCCATAGCCCACTACCAGAAAGCAGTTGAACCCACTCCTCACGTTCATGCCAACCTTCCAGCTATGTTCAGCAATCTTGGAAATTCATACTCATGTCGCTTTGAACGCACTGGGAACCTCAAGGATGTTGAATCTGCTATATCCCACCACCAGAAAGCAGTTGAATTCACTCCTTCTGGTCATGCTGACCTTCCAAGTAGGTTCAACAACTTGGAAATTCATACTTCTGTCGCTTTGAACGCACTGGGGACCTTAAGGATATTGATTCTGCCATATCCCACCACCACAAAGCACTTGAATCCACTCCTCCTGGCCATGCTAACCTTCCAGCTATGTTCAATAACCTTGGAAATTCATACTTCTATCGCTTTGAACGCACTGGGGATCTCAAGGATATTGATTCTGCCATATCCCACCAACAAAAAGCACTTGAATCCACTCCTCCTGGCCATGCTAACCTTCCAGCTTTTTCAACAACCTTGGAAATTCATACTTGTGTCGCTTTGAATGCACCAGGGATCTCAAGGATATTGATTCTGCCATATCCCACCACCAGAAAGCAGTGAATCCACTCCTCCTAGCCATGTTGACCTTTCAGGTTGGTTCAAAATCTTGGAACTTCATACTTGCGTTGCTTCGAACACACCTGGGATTTCAATGATATTGAATGTGCCATATCCCACCACAAAAATGCAGTGGAATACACTCCTTTTGGCCATGCTGACCTTCCAAGTAGGTTCAATAACCTTGGAAGCTCATACTTGCGTCGCTTTGAATACACTAGGGACCTCAAGGACATTGAATCTGCTATATCCTACCACAAGAAAGCAGTTGAATCCACTCCTTCTGGCCATGCTGATTTTCCAAGTAGGCTCAATAACCTTGGCACTTCATACTTCCGACGCTTCGCACACAACCATTATTACCCTGATATCCAGTCCAGCATTATTTCATATCGTAGGGGTGCTGAGGCCAATGGTACCCCATCAATTCACCTGACCTGTTCCAAGCGTGCAGCTATGCTCTCTTCAGTCTATGACCGTTCTCAATGCCTGATTGACTTTTCTCTCTCCATCAGCTTGCTTTCAGAGGTTGCTGGATTAGAACAAACCATCCATCGCCGCCATGCTAACCTCCTTGACCATTCCAATTTTGTGGGACTTGCAGTGGCCACTGCTCTCCGTTTAGAGAGGCCTGATCTTGCACTTGAATGGCTTGAACAAGGCCGTTGCTTGGTGTGGAATCAGATCAACCAGCTGCGTACTCCAATTGATAATCTTCACATGAAACATTCTTCCTTGGCCAATCGCTTCACAGAGGTTGCAAATGCTTTAGAGTCCCATGGAACACGTTCTATATTCTCCACCCCTTCTTCACATGGGAAACTTACAGAAGACATTTGCCTTCAGGATGATACCCGAAATCATACCTTTCTTGCTGCTGAGTATAGGCAACTTCTTCAAGAGATCCGGAGTCTTCCTAATTTTGACAATTTTCTTTGCCCACCTCAAGCCATCAACCTTCTCTCTTCATTACCCTCTGATGGTCCCATTATTATATTCAACATCAACAGGACCCGGTGTGATGCATTGGCTCTTATAGCTACAATTGAGGAGCCCCTGCATATCCCACTGAAAGATTTCAGTCTTGTGCAAGCAGAGAGATTACAGAAAACTCTTCAATCAAACATCCGCTACCAGCGGGAAGTTGAAGATCAAGAACGTGCAGGTCGCATTGTTTGCAATAATCCAACCCCTATGTCATTTATTCTAAAAGAACTTTGGCACAAAATTGTACAGCCAATCCTTGCAG